GTGAGTATCAGATATTACCAGAGAAAACACACAGTGATAATCGCTTTCTCCACCCCTACCAGAACCAATTTTCCGTGTCTTTATAACATCGCAGAGTTTGTTCTTTTTTAAAAAGCCACATTAAAAACAGAGTCCATCGAGCCCTCCAGTGGAAACGGATAACATTTCCTGAAACAAAGCACTGTTCCACCCCTCGCCTATCATGTTTCCTTAAAAACAAGGGAAGAAAAACATTACTTGGTTTTTCTTCTAATACTGCACAAACATTGCTGAGCTAAAAAGAGCCCGGGCTCATCCCTTCAGAATGCTTTCAAAATAGATTTCACACACACCCCTTGTACAGCGAAACACAACAAGAATGTGATATTATCAGGACTGGAAAAATCCAAGCGCTGCTGCTGGGCGGGAAGCCCTTCCCGCGCAGGAGCGGGAGGCCGCGCGGCACCTCCGTGGGGCTCGCGGCCTGCTCGCGATCCGGGGATCCCGCTCACAGAACCACAGAAGAGTTGAGGTTGGCAGGGACCTCTAGAGATCACCTAGTCCAACCCCCTGCTCCAGCAGGGACACCTAGAGCACGGGGCACCCAGTTGCATCCAGGCGGGTTTGAAAATCTCCAGAGAAGGAACCTCCGCAGCCTCTCTGGGCAGCCTGTGCCAGGGCTCAGGCACCCTCACACCAAAGAAGTTCTTCCTTTGGAGCTGGAGCTGCCTGGTTTCCAACTTACACCCGTTACCCCTTGTCCCGTCCCTGGCCACCACCACAAAGAGCCTGGCCCCATCCTCCTTACATTCACCCCTCAGGTACTTGAACGTGTTGATCAAATCTCCCCTCAGTCTTTTCCAGACTAATCAGGCCCAGCTTGCTCAGTCTTTCTGCACACGACAGATGCTCTAGGCCCTTCACCATCTTCGTGGCCCTGCGCTGGCCCCTCTCTAGAAGCTCCATGTCCCTCTTGTCCTGGGGAGCCCAGAACTGCCCCCAATGCTCCAGGTGCCTCCCCAGGGCTGAGCAGAGGGGCAGGATCCCCTCCCTGGCCCTGCTGGCAACGCTCCTCCTGCTGCAGCCAGGAACCCATTGGCCTTCTTGGCCACAAGGGCACATTGCTGCCTCATGGGTAACTTGGTGTCAACCAGGACTCCCAAATCCCTCTCCAGGGAGCTGCTTTCCAGCAGGTCAACCCGTAATCTGTCCTGGTGCCTGGGTTATCCCTCCCCAGACGCAGGACCCTGTACTTGTCCTTGTTGAACCTCACAAGGTTCCTCTGTGCCCAGCTCTCCATCCTGTCCAGGTCTCTCTCAGTGTCAGCACAATGAATGACAGCTCCGCTCGGGGGATGCTCAGCGCACACACACATTCCCATCGCCTTGAGCTGAAAGGTTCCAGCTACCCTGCCTTTTTTGCAGGGTAGCTGTTTGTGTCTGCCCTCACGCTCCTTTGGTGTCCTCAGGACGCCAGTGTCGCAGGTCACCGAAGGCAGCAGCCCAGCGTTACCCTCAGTTGTGCAGAGGAGCGCGCAGCTCCTGCTGCTGCTGGGCTGGGCCGTCTGGCAACGTCACAGCCACTTGGGGAGCGAGAGAAGAACGACTGAAATCGCTCATTGCCGCCGAGAGCGGAGGAGGTAGAAAAGAAGCTTTTGAGCTGGAGGCAAAACCTGTTTCTGTTTTCAAAGTTCATTCAGAAACGTCAGCTCCCACCTCGGAGGCGCATTAAACTCCACATCCCTCCACGCGGCGCAAGTCCACGGCTGTACAAGAGAGCTGAGCAGGGCTACCCAACCACCAGCTCGTGCTTCCCTGGAAACAGCAGCAAGCTACAGGAGAGGAGATTTCTCAAATTCAGGCCCATATCTAAAACACACATTTCACAGTGCCTTGGCAATGGTTCCATCCCAGCTCGTGTCACCAGAGAAACCAGAGCAGCCACGCTGGAGCGTTACACCAGTGGTCTTGGTTCAGCTACTACTTTAGTAAATGAGTAAGAACTCAGGTAGTCAATAGCGTAAAACATAAACCCTAGTTTTACAATCCTTCCCGTTTTAATAATTGCTAGAGAAGTTTTAACCTATCTTGGTCTGATATTTTACTATGATGCAGTTAGTGGAAGCACAAGGTCACAAAAGTTTTACATTCTTTCCTGCTTCTGTCACAAGTCGTTTTCAGCAGCAAAACCCCCTGCTCCTTTGATAAGTGCTCTCCGACTTGGCCTCAGGTACTTCCCCTGACATCCCAGGCTCCAGGAGCTGTCAGGCTGTGAGCTTATCCGCTTCCTGCGGGGAATCCCGAGCCCACGGAACATGGAGCTGGAAAACAGCCAGCTGGAAACCGAGTAATTAGAAGGTAGACTTGAAAGGTCCCATAAAGCAAACCGTTGTAAGTTTTGGCAACCTTAGCCTATCTATGGTTGAAAAGGATAACCAAGCCAGCGGCAGGCATCTTCCCACTCCGCCACCTCCTGAGGTAGTCACTGTTGCTGGGAACTTCAATTCAGTGGCCATAACCCGTTCTGCTCCACACCACCGGCTGGGAGCTGGGGAGGTGAGATCTGCTACCCGCCAGCACGGGCAGAAAGCAAGCCGCGCTGCTGAGGGGCACGTGGAGCTCAAAAGCCGACCACAGCCCCATGAAACTGCCCTCGGGGAGCTTTCATCTCATTCCAAACACCTCCAGCTCCAGAAATACTGCTAGGAAGTTCCATTCGTGGGGCTGACTTTGTTCAAAGCCATCAGTATCCACGACGGCTCCAGCATAACCAGGACACAATTACTTTTACCACATGACCATAAAAACATCTGAGCCTTGTGTGCAGTATCGCCCCCAAAATCCATGGCTTATCCATGAAGCACTTGTTTTCCCTGTGTAGAAAAGGTTCAGGCAGCCAGAAACACAAAACCTCTTCTCATCTAACACAGAAAGCACTGCGTGCAACGTGACGTGTGCCAATACACTTGCCCTACAGCACCCCAGCCAGGCTGAGTTTTAAGAAACAATTAGAAAAATGACCTCTACTTTTGCTTTTGCATAAGCAGGAGACAACACAAACGGAAGCGTGCAGTCCTAGCAGAGCACACACTTCCTACTGCTTCTTCTTGGTCCCTAGTTACCTGGTCTGCAGCCACCTTCTCCAACACACTAACATACTAGGTAGGTAGCTTGAATCGGCTCAGTCTTTCCTTTCTCTGTCATTCCTCAAACAGTAAGGAACAAGGCTGGCCTTAATTCTATTTTACAGGCATTAAGAAAAAAAAATTACACCAATAGCCTTGAGAAAGCACGTTCTGAACCACCACTGCGCGTACAGCTCCTAGAAGATGGTCGAGATTCACTAGATAACTTGCCTGGGCAGATGGAGCTTGCGCAGGGACTTCTTTGTATTTCCTAGATATTCTTCTCCCCCTCAGATATTCCAGCTAGACAGACATAAGCACACGGAAGCGCCCGACCACAGTGTCAGAACAAAGTCCTATCTCCCCCAGCATCCTGTCTTCAAGAGCAGCCACAAGCGGATGCCTGGGGCAGAGCATAAGGCACATAGGGTGCTTCCTCCTAATACTTTCCCAGCCTTCGGACATTTTTAGCTCAGGGACTTCCTGAGCAGGATGTAATTTCTACATATTTGGTAATTCTCAATGGATTTCCCTTCCATGCATTCGTACAGTTGTCTTTAACCAATGTGAATTTTTAATATTCACAGCACTGAAGGAGTTTCACATTACCTACCTGCTGCAAAAAACACATATACATCATTTAGTTTTGCACCTGGCTTTTAGCAATCTCATCTGAACCCTCATCTCCAGCTTTCTTCACGAGCAATCAATCCCTACCCACCTTCTCCACAGCGCTCACAAGCTTGCAGATCTGCTACAGAAACCAAATACTTGTACATTACTTTTAGCAGCCCCTACATTCCCCTAGTTATGAATCTTCAGAATGAAGAGTACCAGTCCAAAAGAGCATCCTGCTGACCTTCATGTTCTAGTTTCATTATCTTTATTTTGCCAAAAAAAACCCACTTACCTCTAATTCCTTAATTTTCTCTTCCGCTATTCTCTGTTTTTCTAAGAGCTGATTATGAATCACTCCTTTAGATTGAAGAATAAACCTAAAAGAAAAACAGAAGAGACACAACTGTTGGGTATTTTATATCTAACTTGGATATTGTATACCTAACTGTGCACCAAGCTAAACCACAATGACTTTTGCAAGTATTTACTCTCGATCTGCATGATCTGAGCAAAGACAGAAGAATCAGCTATGACTGGTGACCCAAAACACAAAGGGAAAAAAAGCAAACACACAGCTGCAGAACGATGCTTACGAGCTGTTAAAGGACCAAGGAGGGTTATCAACCAACCCCAGCTAAACTGTCTGTTATTAAGGTAACCAGCTCTGGGCTTTCTTTCCACTTCTCACCTTTGCCAGTCTTGTGTAGCCACCTGGCAGAAGATGCAGCTCAGCGCTGCCCCTCGGTGCTGCTCACCAACCTCCCCTCCTGCTTGGGACAACGGAAAGGGATGCGCAGAAGCTTCCACGCACAATTCACAGTCCTTGAACACTGTGACATGTAACAGCTTTTGAGAGCGGTCCTTCGCACACTGGATGGATCAGAGACCCATCGGACACCGATCAAACAGGTCCTCATCACAAGCAGCAGGTAGTCACGACAGCTCCTCTCAACTGGTAAGGGCCGCACACTACTGCTTTATTTTACTGCAAATTAAAGCTCTAAATTAAAGCAATAAAATACAACAATAAAGTAAAGCAATAAAAACAACACTTGCTATGGACCCCATTGCTTTCACCAGAGACAACGGCAGGGGAACCATCACTGTGACTGGGCTATCACAGCTCCCAGGGTGTTTTTTTTAAACTCGCCCACTGAGGATTTGGGAGATACTTCCACCCCGTCCCGCTCAAGGCAGCCCAGCTAGATGGCAGGAAGAGCTGCATCTTACCAACACGTACAAACTCCGGAGGGGATGGGGCCAGGCTCTTCTTGGTGGTGGCCAGTGACAGGACAAGGGGTAACGGGTACAAATCGAAACACAGGAGGCTCCTTCTCCATGTGGAAAAGAACTTCTTTCCTGTGAGGGTGCCAGAGCCCTGGCACAGGCTGCCCAGAGAGGCTGTGGAGTCTCCTGCTCTGGAGATCTCCAAACCCGCCTGGATGCCACCCTGTGCCCCGTGCTCTGATTGTCCCTGCTGGAGCCGGGGGCTGGCCTGGATGGTCTCTAAAGGTCCCTGCCAAACTCAGCCCCTCTGGGATTCTGGGTCCAATTTGCTCAGAGGAGCTTTTGAAGGAACAGCAGCATTGAAGCAGCTCTCAGCCCGTGGCTCTGGCATCCCCCAGAACGGTAAAGGTTCGGTTCAGGGGAATTTTCAGCACCCTTCGCAGCCGCCCGTCATCCTCCCGGATGCGAAGAGGCGGATCAGCCCACGTTGGACGTAGGCTCCTGCGTCACGTTCCCAGGGGACGCAGGAGCCTCCCCACGTCACTCCAGCGAGGTCCCCCCAGCATGAACCTCTGTCTGGGCCCATGTCTTTGTGCCAGGTGACAAGAGCTCCTGCTCGCACAGTTACAAGGAGCACCTTTAGGCAGGGCAGAGTGAGGCTGCAGTCCCTGTCTGCTGCACAGAACCTTGAACTCTGTTTGCAGGAACAAGGCCCCCGACGCAGGGCGTCACCGACGCATTCGCTCCGGGCCTGGAAGGTGCTAGGGAGCAAAAACGGGCTTGGAAATGAGGACTCCCTGCACCGTTAATGCCAAGGCTGAAGGAAAACCACCTGCCGTATCCATCCTGAAATGCACGGGAGCAGAGCTGGGGTTAATTATAACACATTGCTAATTAAAACTCTTCAGTGCTTCTCAACTGCATTTCGCCATGAGTCCTCCTTGTCCCCGATCCCCAGGTACCTTCTCTTTTCTACACTCATTGGCACTGTTTCTCTTTGCAATTTTCCCAAATCTCGCCCCAACCCTTTCCCGTCTCTCCCAGATCATGCTGATTCCTCCTATTTGCTCCTGTTCATCACTGCTCACTCGCACTATTTTTCCTTCAATCCCTTCCTCTCAAATTGGAGAGGGGAACAGCTCTCCAGGACCTTCCCATTTGCCTCCCCAAGGTGCAGAGCAGAACTGACAATCTTGGTTTAACGGGCACCCTCAAGCCAAAATAACAGCATTGAAAGGTGGCATCATTTAGATCAGTTTTTCTTTTCCCCTCCATGTAACTTGCGAAGTCTCCAGGGATCTGCATGGCCCGGAGGGATCCCCGCAGGCTCGGGGAGCGCTACAGGGCACAAGGGTGCTCGGAATGAGTAAGTCGCTGACTTAACTTCTCTTCTGCAAATGTCAACAGCAGCCATCTGGGAAAATATCCTCCCTCCCTCCCTCCCACCCTTCCGCACTGCCCTCCCAGACACGCGGCAGCGAAGGCAGAAAAGGAGGGCTGAAGTCAGCACCCAGAGACTCCTGTGGGCAGCCTGGCACAAGCGCCGCAGCCCCCGTGGGCGCGGATCAGATGTCCCTGCGACAGGTTTGCATCAGAGCCGCCTTCATTTCCTGCCACAGGGCTGCCAAGCGCCCAGCCTCGCAGCTGCGCTTTTCCAAAGCTGGATCTCTAAACCACATCCAGCTAATCCAATCCATGGCCTCACTCTACAACCCGCCAGGGACAGCATTGCGGCCTCCAGCCTGGGATACGACGGGTGGAGGCGACGGGTTTGCACTTGGACTCAGTGATCTTGAAGGGCTTTTCCAGCCATAGCGGGTCTATGATTCTAGACCCTTCAAGACCTTGGCCAAAGTTTTTTACCTACGAAAACGCGCGGCTTATGGCAAGGATGGGAAAAAGTAGAAGCCCATCTCACTTGTCACAAGGCATTTGTAATAAGTCAGAGTTGGGTTTACCTGCATTTCATTATTTCAATTAATCTGACTATAGAAAAGGCAAGCAGACTGCTTTCTTCCTCCCTCACAGACGAGGGAAGGCGCTATCATTCTGCTGTACTGTTTTCCCCAGCTCAGTGGGTTTGTTTGTGAGTTTTTTTAGGCTCATGAAGGAGCCACAGAGGGTTTTGAAGTCCAAATCCTTCCCGGAGCGGGAATATTTTCAGCCGAGACACTTGCTCACTGCGAGGAGCCACGAACAGAAAGTTGTTCCTCTGCTCGGGAACGCGGGAGCGCGGGGCTGCGGGGCCACGCGCTGCTCTGGGAAGCTGAATTGTTGTTTCACGTGGTGATTATACGAGAGATACCAAGGCCTTGGGGCAGCACCAAAGCGTTACTCAACCAACCGCTCGGCCAATGCACCAGAGGCCGCTGCAGGAGGCTCTGAGCCCTGGGAGTTCATACGCTCGGCTGGGCTGACTTTAAGTACCTACAGTTTGAGGAAGAAAAAGGAAAAATAAAGTTATCCGGGAGAGATTTGCTTTCTGCTGACACAGGTGAGCACTGAGCTCGCTTGTCTCATCCCTCAGCAGCAAAGCTTTTCTTAAATGGGGACAGAAATTTTGCAGCACACAATAATAATCTAGACCACCACGACAATGAAGCAGAAGAAAACTGTTGACCACCACATGAATTGCCCAGCTCAGTAACAGTCCTCTCTCACCAGGAGGGCTGTTTGCACTGCTGTCAAACAACACCAGAAATATCTGGCTCGTAACAGAGGGATTCACCAAGTCTCAGCGGTCACTCACTTCAAAGGCAGTGGTGAATACCAGCAGGGCAACTATTCGCTCCCCTCTCGATACCCCACACAGAGACACAGAAGTGAAAACCCCAAACGGAGCAGTGAAAAGTAGGTTAGGAAGAACTGGCCTCCTCCAGGCCAGCAGTGTCCAGCCAAACCCGGCCTACAAAGGCAGCTCTTTCAGGCACTAGAGTGTTTTCCAGCTGCCTGCATCTGCACACTCCAGTCTCCCAACGGCGGCTGCTCCTGCACTGGGAAGAACAAAAACAGAGTACGAGGGAATTGAAAGAGAAACCTCACTCTAAATATTCCCACTTGTTTCTATTTTATTCCCTGCAGCCCGTTGCTAGCTCCACGCCAGATGTTTTATTCCACCAAGACGAGGAAGTGGCATACCCTGTCCGCAGGAGACGCTGCTCGTTTCCTTCTGAAAATATCTCTGACCCCTTCCACGTGAAGTTTCTAGATATGGTGCCCCGTTTGCTAAATATTTCCACGGCCCAGCCAAAACGGCCCTCGGGCTCTGGTTGCCCTGGCTGGCAGCGGCACCAACCGTGTCCTCCGCCCGCTCCTCGTACCACACGTACCCACCCTCAGCGTGATGTCTGCTGAGGGTAAGTAATTCCATAACTCAAGCTGTTTATGCCAAAACGTACTGTTAATTGGACTTGAAAGCATAATATTAGATACTGAAGCACTCATCTCTCAAGGAATGAGGTTATGGAGATATTTGTTCAGCACAAGCCTGTACACTATGACATGCCAGTTACTACAGGCGGAGTCGCAGCGAAGCCCGTAATTAAAGATTTTTCCAGCAAAAGTCCCTATTTTCATTGCTCACGACTTCAACATCTTTAATCTTTACAGCTGCATCTTTTGGCATTAGGCATCTGTATCCAAAGGCAGCACTTTACCCGCTTTCCCTTTCCTAAAAGCTCACGTATTTCTCAGAAGAGGAGCAACAGGCAGTTGGCCAACAGTTTTACATACAATTTGCTACCGTTTCTTTGGGAAGTTTTATAGATTCCACATCCTGAAGTGACAACCTGGGTCCACACGGCCCTGGTGCACAGGTACCCCGGAGGTTCCCAGTTTTCTGCTGCCCCATGTTAACACGTAGCCCCTGTCTGACAGTGAGCAGCAGTTCTACAGATGGGAAAGCCCCAGTATTATTTTTCCAGAATGACAACGAATTGCAAATCTAAACGTCCATTCTGTTCACACAAGGGCTACTGTAACTTCAGCCTTACAGACCACAGAGTTTGGGAAACTGCATGCAGAAGAGCAAATTAAGACACTGAAAAGAAAAACTAATACCTCTGTACAAGGCCTTAATATTCTTTTAGCACGTTTTTATAGTTCAAAATAATCACCACAGCGTCAACACAGCCCAGCCATTTAGATTCTA